TGAGGAAGAAAATGCCGTACACAATATATGTTTTCCAGCATGGATCATAACCCCAAACAAGATTAGTTTCTGTGATTACATTTTAAGTTTATACAATCAGTGCACAAAATGTGGTGAATCGTGTTCTGGACAATTTGTACGTAATCGCCAATATTGATTTCAATTGTATTAGAATTTCTTTTTAGTCACTTTAATTGGCCTGTAAAATATCAGCCACAGCTGAATGAACGTGAATATAGCAAGAAAAAATCAATTGTAAGCAAACAGTTTTTCACTGGTGAGGTGTACCCGCGGTCTACCTCACTAGGATTTATGTGTGCCACATTTTTTGCACAGAAACCGAACTTTGGCCTGCTCAGGACACATCCTTTACACCCCCGCACCACCCCCACACCCACGCCACCCCACATCCATATCCATAAAATGACTTGTGATTGTCCCCTTTGGAATTAAAGTACCCTTTAAATAGTCTTGAAATAAAAAATGTTCCACCGGTCAAGCTTAATGGCAGAGATTTTTAGTCGTAGCAGAAAATGCTTCTGTAGTGAGAGGGATTTAAAATCAAACTTTGTCCTCATGAAAACTTTTAGAGTTTATTTGGTGCATTATTTACTATCATGCCTTAGGGCTTTTGCTTTGCACACTGTGTGTGTACATGTCTTTCTATGGGTTGTGTGGACAAATTGTAGTTTGGAAGCCATCGTTGTGAGGACATTTTAAAAAGGGTGATGAAGACTTGGTTGTAGGTTATGGAATTAGGTTTAGGTTGGGGTTTAACGTAAGGACTGGGGAAAGGATTGGTCGTGGTGGTGGTAGGTGAGGGTAAACGGGGTCGAGGGGATGACGTCAGTGAGTGTCCTCCTCAAACAGCAGAAGAAACCAACATGTTTGTGTATGTGTTTGTTTGTGGTTGTGCATGTCTCATGTTGCACATTGTGAAACCAATAAACTCTCTTTCTGGCAAATTAATTCAAACAATGCATATTGAAGTGGAACCTGACTGCAGAAATATTGAAAGCTGCGTTTTTTTTCTAGCCTTTTTTAGCCCGAGAGCATTTACTAGTATAGAGGAACGTGTTTAATTCTCTAACATTTTACATCTGATGAATACAGTATACGGACAAGAATATGAGCAATTGCATACAGTGTCTGTGCAGAGTTGTTACTGAAAGTATAAATATCAAGGCCAGAGGAGTCGAGAGCTGCGAGCAAGACACATCCACACCACAGCTACAGGAGGCCGTCTCCACAACTGATGGCAGCACTGTAATTGCCCACCATTAACCTCTCTAGGATAAGAGGATTATATAGGAAGCGTTAATACCATTCTAGTAGCTGTGCACTGTCTGTGTTTGGTGCATCATGAAAACAATCAGTCCAGCC